CCAAATTGATTTTGAATTTCAGCATGGAAGGTCTGAAAAATAGAAAACAACTCAGATCGATTTTTCATTAAAAATATCCAAGTGCACCTGGAATAATCATCAATGAAACTGACAAAGTAGCGAAATCCTAAGGTAGAGCTAACCCGACTAGGACCCTAAACATCTGAATGGACTAAAGTAAAAGGTGACTCTGCTCGATTGTCAAGACGCCGCGGGAAATGGGAGCGGGTATGCTTACCGAGCTGACACGACTCACACTCTAGAGTGGACAAGTGAGATAAGCCAGGTACCATTTTCTGAAGTTTTGATAAACTGGGATGTCCTAACCGTTTATGTAATAAATCTGGTGAATCAGTAACGGGAGAAGTTATTGGAGGAAGACAAGATGCGAGTCCATGTGATTTTGCAAGGATAAGGTAATAAAGTCCATCTGATTCACGTCCAGTACCAATGATCCGCCCTGTACTGCGTTCCTGTATAAAAACAAGGTCATCAAGAAATAAAACAACCGATTTAAGTGATTTGGCTAAGCGACTAACGGCTATGAGATTAAAAGGACTACCAGGAACGTAAAGAACTGAGTCTAAAGGTAAGGAAGGAAGTGGACTTGCTTGACCTATTGCAGTTGCCATGGCTTGAGACCCATTGGCCATTGTGACTGTTGGAAGAGATTGAGAATATGAGATACTAGTGAAAAGAGATTTGTTACCAGAAATATGATCAGATGCACCTGAATCAATGACCCAAGACTCAGAGGGTGTAGATTGGGAGACACCAGTCATGCTACTATTTGTTGGAACGACGGAGGTTAATTTTGAAGATGTCTGTTTACGTGCTTTGTACTGAAGGAACTCAATATAATCCGGTAAAGAAACCATCTGGATTGGATTTATTGAATTTAATCCAACGGATTGTGAGGCAAAAGCTTCAGGTATTAATTCCATTATAATATTGTGCCGAAAAAAAGCAGAAAATCGCTGGGATCACTGTTCACGCCGGAAAAATCACTGTAGCTCGCCGGAAAATTCCAAAGTGGTCGGAATTGAAAAATAAAATTATGGGTAGGCTCGGAATTTAAGGACGATCCAACTGCCCTGAAGGAGTTTCATCAAAAAATGGTCGGAAGTGGGCTCACGCGCTCGCCGGAAAAATTCTTCTGCCGGCGCGTGTGGTCGCGTGGCAGCTTTTCTGCCGGAGAAATTTTGAAGGGTTGGTCGCCGACGAGTGATCTACCTCGTGGTGGTGTTGGTTTTTTTTTTTTGCACAACACCGATAGAAAGTGACTTGATTACGGGCAACCTTCTAAGTGAAAAATTGCACGGCGACGAGGTCTTTCTTCCCGGAAGTCGCTGGAATGATGCACAGCGATACGTTTCTCACTAATGCTCTGATACCATGTGAGAAAGCACGGGAGAAAATATATTATTGATTAATTGATAATGCTACAATGAGCCCTATATATACACACATAACATATCGTACTCCTAATACATATTGGATTAGGGTTAGAGTTATTTACTCCTATTTACACGACTATTCTAACAGATAGTATAGGGGCTGCATCCTTTCTTTTTATTTGACCAATTGCGATCACTCACTTATCGAACAACTACTGTTGCTTTGAACAGTCAGAAATACCTATAATGCTGGAAAAAAGTATGTTATCTCGAGAATTTGCTATAGTGTTCATCTTAATCGGATACTAAATGCAGAGAAGGATGCAACCTAATTTTCCTGTAAAGTATGTGATTTATCTTTGCAGTTTTCTAGACAACATACCACATAAGCAATTGAAACAAGGTCAAATGATTTGGAAGGCAAGCCAGTGTTTTCACCATTTGCATGTATCCAGCTTATAGGATTCTTTCTCTGGTTTCTTTTCTTTTCTTTATACTGAGCAACAGCAAGAAAATAAGGTGAAAGATCCAGACCCTGCACAAGAAATCAAGAATCAGAAATATTTAAGATTAACCAAATCATAATCATGTACTGGATTGGAAATGATATTTCAGAAGTTATTACTGCATTTGGCATTATCTAGCCTTCTTTTTCTCCTAAACAGAGAAATTATAAATGTTCGTTCATACTCACAGTCACTTTAGCAGAAGGATATCTGTCCGCAAGATATCCCGTGGTCACACCAACCGAGCATCCAATGTCAAGAATGTCTCTGATTGAGAAGTCTCCTGAATATTGTTGATGATGTTTTTCGATTGCATCAAGCCAATTTCCGCGTACAATCTGATTTGCTTCTTCAAGTGAAGAAGCATTAGGTATTGTACGTCTCACCATCGACATAGTTGCAGCCTCTACTTCAGCTGCAGCCTACAGTAGTTAATTAAGTTTCACTCATTGTCCATGCACTAAGAAAACCACTCTGGGAAAGCACTTGTCTAGTAGTAACTTAATACAACATATTTATGACAACACTGAAGAACATATATAGAAAAAAGTAGTGCGGCGAAACAAAATGAAGCACAAATAACCATAAGGATATATCATAACCTCCATTACTTGATCACTAGAGACCAAAGAACCAACAGAAGCACAAATAACCAATGAAGTACAAATCAAAACCAAAAGCCATTTAACCCACATGACTTGACGAACAGAAACGTAAATATAATATAACTTGAAATTATGCACGAAAATGAAGAAATCTGATAAGAAAAGATCGAAACTTTCAATGCGCTACTTTTAGGGGCACAAAAGACATGTTGGAAGCGATGTTAAATCTTACCAGCCAGGAGAGGTTGCCCTCGTCATATGCGTGGAAGGGATTTAGATAATCTGGAACAAGCAATCACTTTGTCAACTAGTTTGTTTTCAGGAAAGGTTGATCAGTATAATCCAACAACAACAACAACCCAGTAAAATCCCACAAGTGGGGTCTGGGTAGCCTAGTGTGTACGCAGACCTTACCCCTACCCCGGAGGAGTAGAGAGGTTGTTTCCGATATACCCTCGGCTCAAGAAGATGAAAAGAGACAAGTGATCAGTATAATAAAAAATTAAAAAAAAAAAAAAAAAAAGCTGTGTTTCAGTCCTTCAACACATAATGTAAGAGGAGTTTACAATACAAAGAACAATGGTTTGACTGAATAAATGTCATGCACTCGCGCTCCATATTACAGTCAATTTTTCACCATTAATAGATAAAGTAGTGCAAACTTAAGATATATGCCTCCTCTGTAACATTAGCTGCCTTAAAATAGCTAGTGGTTAGTCCACCAGAGGAAATTTGCTTCAATATAAATGGTTCTCGTCTGCATTTATCCCATTCTCTTCTTAAACCTCAAACAAATTACACAGTGCAAAAAAGCTTCATCTCTTAGATACTCAAAAAAATCAACTTCTGCTTATTTGCCTTCTCCATTACTAGGACTACAAGCACTAGCCTGTCTAACTGAGTATTTTCAGCCTCTGAAACTAAATTCAAGTAACTCTATTACTCCCTCTATCCCGGTTTATATGTCATACTTTCCTTTTTAATCTATCACAAATATCTATAGTTTGTTTTAGATCACAAGTTACTCCGTGCCGAGTCAGTCTAAGACTAAATTCGATGGGATAAAAGAAAAGCAAAAAATATAAAAAAATTTGATAAGAAACTCACAATCAGGATATGCAATGGCAGGATTCTGGATGCTCTCTAACTCTTTGTAAACATCAGAATCCAGTATCTCCTTTGTCATCTCCCTCCATGGAATATTAGTTTTCTCAGCTGTACTGTTCAAACCCCAAGAAACCAGATGAAACCACTTTCAAACCAAGTCTTCTCAAGAAAATTCAGACAACAAGGATATCAAGGAAATGTCAAAACTGTTGTGGTCTTCATAAATAAATGAAACTGGTTCTTCTTTAAGATTTAACTTAAAGATTCAAATTTACCCCTCTACTATAAGAAATATGTTTGTTATACTTTACTCTAAATACGAAAAATTGTCCTTCTCCAACAGGTTAAATTTTAAGGACAGTATGGTGCACGAAGTATCCCGTAGGATCCGGGAAAGGGCCACACCCAAGTGGTTGTGACGTAGGCAGTCTATCCTAATGCAAGCATGATTCCAAAGCTCGAACCCCTAACCTATAGGTTACATGGAAACAGCTTCACGGATATTATTTTAAGATATTCACAAAAATGTAAAAGTGGGGAGGACCTGATAAGAACTTGTCTGGCACCAAGTTTGAGTATAGAGAAGAGAGGTTTGAAGGAAATAAGAGCTCCAACTAGAAGTGAAAGTGGGGTTTCCCCTGTCCAACGAGGCCTTTCAAGTTGTCCTTCCTCAAATGCCTCTGCAATTTGTGCATTTCCACTACTACTTGTACTTGAAGAAGCTGACAATTTAAACCCCAAAACACTACGGCTTCTTCTTATTGGATTGTTAGTTATGGTGAACAAATTGGGATTCAAGCTGAATGCCATTTGCGTGCTAATCTTGATGCGAGCGCGAAAGAGAGTTTTGGTTATTTTTGTCCACCCAAAAATTATGGCCATTTCTTCTTTGGGGTTTGAATTGAAGGAGTATCAAAATCTCAAAATCCTACTTGACCAACGGGAAGTGAACACGTGTACTTTTATACTTCTAGTGATAAACTTCTATTCTGAGGTTTGTTAGCCAAATGTTCGGCGAAATTGTTTTTGTGAAAACATGTACATGGCACGAATTATTATATGTAATGAATAAAATGTACTCCCAATTTATATAAACATGTTTGAGTGGGCACGAAATTTAAGAAAAAATGGTAAAAATTGCACGGGGCGCCCTATTTGGTCGCCCCCATTTAACCTATACTCATTTTTTAAAAACTAATAATTTGTACCCACTTTTTAAGGCCCCGTTTGGCCATGAGTTTTGCCAAAATAAATTTGGGATTTATTTTCAAAACTCATGTTTGGCCATAAATTTTGCCCATATTTTGGCCAAATCCTAAAACTCAAATTTCAAATCCCAAAATCAGCTATTGAGTTGATTTTGGGCCAAAATCCCAAAACTTGGGAATTATATACTTGTTTTTCCAAAATAAAGTTGGAAAATATGTTTTGAAAACGTATGTCCAAACACATTTTCATCTTCAAAACAAACTTCATCTAAATCAGATTTTTCAAAACAAATTTGGGATCTATGGCCAAAGGCTAGCTAAATAACTTCAGCCCCTTTCTCCTCTTCCTCCTTCTTCTTCTTTCTTCTTCTTAGCCAAACCTGATACTAGCCGTGAATGCAAATCCAGTTCCGTTGCTTCCTTTGTTTTCGATAACTGGTGCGTATTGTCAAACTTGGAAATATCAGATACTTGAGCAGCCACTAACTGTGGATAAACTCGTATTCACATGAAAACTTCAGCCCTATTTACGTTGTGGCAATGCAAGACATGACTTGCAGCCACGATAATTAACCATAAAAAGTTGGTTAGTTTTCCTTCAGAATATTGTGAAACTTTCGACCAGATTTGCAGCCACGATAATTAACCATAAAAAGAAGAGGAAATTGTAGCTAGATAGAAACTGCTCTAAAGCTGAAGTTTCTCAGTTACAACACAAAAACTTCAGCTCTAGAGCTGAAGTTTTTGTGACAGTTGAGTTATGACAGTAGTTAAACTCTTCCCTTCTTACTATGAAAAATGCAGGGGCATCCAGGTTTGAACAAGAATGAAAGAAAGCGTTTGTGCAGAATATTAGACTGCAAGAAATTATCCATGGAAGTCTGCATGCATGCAGCTCAAAACGAATTGCTCCCATTAAGGATAGTAGTTCAAGTTCTATTCTTCGAGCAAGCTCGAGCCACCATGTCTGGTGGCCATATAACTGAGCTCCCCACCCACATCAAAGCGCTTCTAGCTAACCATGATGACTTATCAAAGACTTTTGCATCGTTCAAAATGACCAGTGGAGCTTTCAACACTGAAAATGAAGCTGGCAGAAAATGAAGATTTGGAGGAAAATTATGTTGATGGAAATGGGACATCCTCACGAATAAAAGCTTCAGGCATATTTTGTGTTTTAACTGGAAAACTTCAGCTCTAGAGCCGAAGTTCGCCAGTTACAAAGCAAAAACTTTAGCTGTAGAGCTGAACTTCAAGCCCGGCTACTAGAATGCTGAAGTTTTGCGTGATTGCCTTTGCTACTTCAGCCCCGTGTGCTGAAGTTATGTGAAAAAGCGAGTACGCTTGCAATTTTTTTGCAAAGCGGGCACACGTTAAAATGTGGCACAAAAAACGGGTATAGATACAAATGCCCCAAAAAAATGAAGGCTTTTGAATTTGTGGTCTTAAACAAGTCAAAAAGGGCCCAGAGTATTTGTGTGGTTATAAAAGTTTCTCATTAAGGGTAGAATTGTAAGTTTAAGCTAAATTGTTTCCAAATTTAAAAGGGGTTATTCTTTTTTGAAGGACCAAAAAGGAAATAGGTTCACATAAACTGGAACAGAGGGAGTAAATATTATTAGGATAAATAAACAATTTAGAAATTATTAGATTACTAACGCATAAATTTATATTGCAAATCAATATTGTATTAGTTATGGTAAAAATTGCATGGGGCGCCCTATTTGGTCGCCCCCTTTTAACTTGTACCCGTTTTGTTTTTCCATTTGCATCCGTACCTTTTTTTTGTTAAAAACGTTTTAAAAAGACGATTTTCCATTCTTTAATAAAAGACTGATTTCAACAAAATAGACTTAAGTTTTGGATAAAACTCATGAGAAAATTGTAGACTAAATAACTTCAGCATGCATTAGCAAAAAACTTAAGCATGTTTCGGTGTGAAGTTTTAGCAAATGAACTAAATAACTTCAGCATGCATTAGCAAAAAACTTAAGCATGTTTCGGTGTGAAGTTTTAGCAAATGAACTAAATAACTTCAGCATGCATTTGCAAAAAACTTAAGGATGTTCAGTCTGAAGTTTTAGCAAATGAGCTAAAAAACTTCAGCTTGTTTAGACTGAAGTTTCGGATAAAACTCATGACAAAACTGTAGACTGTAGGACAAAACTTCAGCATGTTTTGGTATGAAGTTTTAGCAAATGAACTAAATAACTTCAGCATGCATTAGCAAAAAACTTAAGCATGTTCAATCTGAAGTTTTAGCAAATGAACTAAAAAACTTTAGCTTGTTTAGACTGAAGTTTCGGATAAAACTCATGACAAAACTGTAGACTGCAGGCAAAACTTCAGCATGTTTTGGTATGAAGTTTTAGCAAATGAACTAAATAACTTCAGCATGCATTAGCATGAAGTTTTAGCTTCAATGTGAAACAATTTCGTGTTATATTAGCATGAAGTTTTAGCTTCAGTGAAACAACTTTATGCTACATTAGCATGAAGTTTTAGCTTCAGCATGAAATAACTTCATGCTACATTAGCATGAAGTTTTAGCTTGTATTTGATCAAAACTTCAGACTTCAACGTGAAAACTTCATGCTATATCCGTCAAACAACTTCATGCAAGTGTGATTCTAAAGATGAATCTAGTTCAAGTTTCTGATTTTTTAATAAAGCTGCTGAGAGGAAAGGAGGAGATCTTTTTTCACGAATGAGGTAGCAGATCACGCGATTAATGCGTGATGCAGGTTTTATATCTTTTGTCAGGGGTACAATTGTCCTATTATTACGGATTTTTTGTCAGTTGGCTACCAAATCAATAATTTTTAAAAATATGGTACACGTTAAAATGTGTCACAAATATAGGGTACAACTGCAAATCTCCTTAAATATGAGGATTTTTTATTTCCTTATGCGGCCAAGTAAAAAGATTCATTAGGTATGCTGAGTTCGATTATACCAAATTTTAAGCTGGAAATTTATTTCCTTATACTACCATCTATTTATCACCAGGTTAAGCTTGGTTGGAACTAACTCAAAATCCAAATTTGAGAATCAACGAATAAGTTGTGTCTAAAAATAAAATGTCATTCAAAGCCCGAGATAGTTTTTTGCGACAGGTTGTTCACCTGAAATTAAGGCATTGACCGTTTCATTCTGGGTTCGAGCCGTGAAAACAGCCTCTTGAGAAATAGTGCGTACAATATACCCTTATGGTCCAGCCCTTCCCCTGACCCCGCGCATAGCGAAAGCTTAGTGCACTGGGCTGCCCTTTTTTATTTTGGTGAATATTATCGGCCAAGATAACTAGGATATCTAATCGTATCTGCTTCCCTAGCTTTCATCTCGCAGTGCGACTGTTGATCCAGCTGCCAAAACTCCCATTTACGAGCAAAGAGCTTGATCGAAATAACATTCTGAATCTGCTTTCCCGTGGTTATCTTCGTACCTCAGACAACTTGTCCTCGTTTGCATTTTAAAAACTTGGAACTCGCCTTCCATCTTTATTCCTTTTGTTAATGAAGGCAGGAGGGAGGGCCAACAGGACCCCAGGTGGTTTAACATAAGCAAGGAGCTTACACCAAATGACCAAATCAACCTTCAACAATTCACCAACTTGTTGACGTGAAATATTTTGGCTAATGTCCTGTCAACCTAAGCAAGTATAACTGAGCATAGTAACTCTTGCGCCACTCAATTCAGAGATTTCGAATTGAATAGAAGCTGCCGCAGTGGCAGATAAAGACCGAAAGAAACGCCGGCAACCTTCATTCTACGACATTTGAAGAAGTCAATAGCCTACGCCCCAACTAAACTAAAAGGCAAGATATATATTATAAATTTGGTGAAATTTAGATGATGAAGGTTGAGAGGACAAACAAACACTGAATCCTCCATTTGGCTGCGGCAGTCATCTGAAAAATAAAACCACCTATAGACCAAACCAATCAACTAAAAGACTGAACACCTCACGATTAGGGGAGGAAATAGCACTGGGATGCAAAATCTGACCACATGAAGACTTCAAACTGATATGTAAACAAACTATAACAAGACGCGCCCATAAAATAAGTATTTATAAGGACCCTAATGAACAAGCATCCCCTGGGTGTATCATCCTCCTCCCTTAAATAACATAGTAGGCTCTAATATGTTGTCCCGTCACTGCAAAAGTATAAGAAAAGATATGGTTCGGAATGGGTAGGAAAGTCAACTACTCAAAGAGTGGTGAAAAATAAATATTTATTTGAATGAAGGACCAGAAAGATGTACGAAGAAACCCACCTCGGCACCCTCGCCTCCTGCTTTGCTTGTGGCTGCATCTCCCTTTTGGGCATCTTCTGTTGAGAAGGGAAAACAGAAAATACAACAAGAATAATTAGAAAGTCAATATCTTCTAAATGTTAGAAAAGGCATTGTATTCATCTAACTGAATTTCTATACTGTCATACCGAACCTATTTGTTATGGCCTCATCAGTTGCGGTGTGATTATAATCCCTCTTCAAAGTCATTTCGGTTGAAGAATGTTAAAACAAAAAGATTACAACTCACCACCTCAATACAAGCAGGAACATCTGTGAAATTTAAGCTGAAGCCTTGCAAAGGATACAATTAGCGAATCCTAGAACGTTGAAAGTCGTAACCTACTAGTTGCAGTAATCCCAATCTCACTTTTTTTTTGAGA